TTTCTCATTGTAACAGCACTCTTCCCACTTCGTGGCTTCCATTCCTAACTTCTTTCCTGCCCCGTCCTGCTTTCTGAGCTGTTTTTGTGCAAATGCTTATGGTTCACTGTTTTGAAGAGTATGTACCTCATACTTTATGTTGTTGTTGTTAAGTGCCGTCGAGTCGGTTCCGACTCATAGCGACCCTGTACAGGGTTTCTGAGGCTGTAAATCTTTACGGGAGCAGAAAGCCTCATCTTTTTCCTGGGGAGCGGCTGATAGTTTCGAACTGCTGACCTTAAGGTTCACAGCCTGATTAGTAACCACTACGCTACCAGAGCTCCTTATTGTTCACTTTATAGGCCTATCCATTGTTTGTAACAACAACTGTTTGGCTGCAAGGTGATCCCTGGGGATGAGTTCAGTTCCAGGATTGAAGGGTGGTCTAGAACTTACGAATGTTTAAAGAATGACAGGAGAACACTCTCTTGGAGCTGTTTTAAGCATGAAGATTCATAGCCAGATGAGCTTTTAGAAAATTAACAATAATAATAATTGTCACAATTTACTGAGTACTTACTATGTTGCTTGGCTCTGCTTTACATTACTTAATCCCCAGAACAAACCCTTTGTCTGAGGCATGGGCAAAAGTACAACGAAATTGCATTTTGAGGATGGGGATGGAAGTTAAATTCTAAAATAGACAAGTAAGGCAAGTTTGGTGTCATAAAAACCAGTCACAGGAGATGTATTTCATTGCATGCATCCTGGAATTTACGGTCATTGGGTGGAATGGTGGAGGATTTATACTACCGTGTGGCGCTGTGGGTTAATGTGCCAGACTGCAAAGTCGTTTGAACTGCAAGGTCGGCGGTTCAAGTTCATCAGCTACTCCTTGGAAACCCTATACAGGGTCGCTATGGGTCAGAATCGACTCGACGGCACTTAACAACAACAACTCACTCCTAGCACCTTTATTTTACTTGAAATCCCACTTGATTTTGGGGAAGTGGGATGGAGATTGGGTCTTGGGGTTGGGACAGGATGCGGTGTGGGCTACTATTCCCCAGGGATCCAAAGGAGGGCAGGCTAGACCCCATTCTACAAACACCCCTTCACCCACCTGGTCACTCACCTTCTCTGAGACCTCCACTCTCTCATCCGGTTTATCGTCTACAAATCTGCGTTGCTAGGTTACCCGCCGATTTTTCAGGAGGCGGGACTCGGCGTCTGACTGACTTTCCTTTCCACCGTTCAATTCCTTTTTCCTTTAGTTCATCCCGCCTCCTGGGGATCTGACCAATCAAGAGGAACTTCTCTCTGGTTCTCCACCAATTGAGAGAGCCGGGACTATTTCTGGGTTGGGCCAAACGAGTAAGGCGGGGAGGGTGGGAGGAGGAAGGGGCGGGACTAATAAGTCCCGCCCCTTCCCAGGGAGGTGGCTGGGAGCTTTGCTAGGACAGCGGGCTAGGACTGAAGAAGGACGTGAGACTTGACCAATAATACTTCAGCATGGCAATCCAAGTAGCCAATAACCTGAGGCAGAGGAGAAATGGGGCGAGACCTGCGTTGTTGAGGGCACGGTAGGCGGTGGATGGGAGAGCTGGCGCAGCTGCCTTGGTGGCAGCGGCTGGAGTGGCGGCGACTCAAGTGGCGGCGGCGGCGGCAGCTGCAACAGTCTCGGGCTCGGGGATTTGGCGGCGACGTCGGCGGGCTGTGCTGTGTTGTGTTGTGCTGTGTGGACCCCGGTGCATGATCCGGGTTGCTGGGGCAGCGCGTGTAAGAATCCCGGGGGGCGCGAGGACTTGGCCTTGGGGAGAGGGCAGGGGCAGAGGTCAGAAGGCGCTGAGTCTGGGGTTGCAGGTGGGCATAGGGGTGTCGGGACGGGCAAGACGGACCTGGAGGGCTGCAGGGAAGTCACGGCAGGGTTTCTTTTCCTCCAGCCCAGGCCGGCACTTTCACCCCCTTTGTCGCCCCTCGCCCCCACTGGAGTGGCCCCCACATGGTGTCCAGAACCGAGAGCATGTGGTGCTGTAGCCAGTGGCCCGACCCTAGCCCTCCTTCCTCTCCAGCGATCTCCCCGGTGCCCTCAGATATCCCCACCCCAAGGGGCCGGCTGCAGACCCCTCCTCGGAACCTCTCCTTGGGCTGGCCCTCCCTTCTGGGTTTTCTATAGAGGGAAAAACTGCCCATGGAAAGATCTCTGGGCTGAGACTCAGGAGCCCTGCGCTGTAGCTCAGCCACTGCACTGTGTGACCTTGGGCAGGTCCCTTTCCTTCTCTGGGCCCTACTTTTCCCACTCTTTAAGGATACATGATTCCCAGTGGGTGGCTGGTTCTGGGAGGGAGGATAAAGTATTGGAAGGAAGGTTCCTGAATTTAGACTGCTTGGGCTGAAATCTGTACCACTTCCCTTTTGTTTACTTACTTATAGGAGGCAAGTTCTGTTAACCTATCTGTGCCTCAGTTTCCTCATCTATAAAGTGGGGTTATTAGCTAAGACAGGATTTCTCAACAGACATTATTGACACTTTGGCCCTGACAATTCTGTTGTGGAGGGCTGTCCTCTGCATTGAAGAAAGTTTGACAGTATCCCTGCCTGTCTCCCTCCCTCCTGCCAGTTGTGACAATCAAAAACGTCTATTGTTGTTGTTGTTATGTGCTGTGGAGTCCGTTCCGACTTATAGCAACCCTGTACAGGGTTTCCGAGGCTGTAAAACTTTACGGGGAGTCCAGGCATTAAGCAGCTAATGACAATAAGACCAGGACACCTCATTTTGATGGCTTGAGAAGATTCATAGATCCTCCTGCCTTCATTTTAGGTAAAATATTGATAATCCTGGAAGCTGGTTCATTTGCATATCGCTCTTTCTCTTTGTGTGTGTTTCCAACTGACAATGGTAAAAAGTTACAAACAAAACAAATAAACCCTATGTAATTCTTCAGATAGCCTAATGTGGTGTCTCATTGGAATTTCCTCTTTTACCTCCTCATGACTGAGATTCAAAAGAAAAGTAAATACCCAGATTGGGAAGAAACTGAAAAAAAACAACAACTGAAAAACTCACAGGAAGTTAGCCAGGCAGAGTTACAAACTTGTTGGTGCCGTTTACTTTTGCTGCCTTGTTTTAAGAAGCTCTGCAGTTCCCTGTTGACACACTAGGGTCTGCCTAGAGTCATCTGGATGACTTTTGTGAAAAGAACTAAGTTGCCCCGGTTGGTTGCATTTCAGTGGGTCAGTATGGAAGTAAAGCTGAAGACAAGAGCTGCAGGAAGGAGTCTGCTCTGCTGTCAAGTTCAAAGGTCTGCGTCAGATCTGCTGAGTCTTTGCTTTTCTTTCTGTTGGTCCTCCTTAGTGGAAATGCAAAGAAGCCCTTGTAGTAGACTAGTTAAGCAAGGCATCAGACTGCAAAATAGTAGTTCAAACTCACCAGCTGTACTGTGGGAGAAAGATGTTACAGTCTGCTTTTGTAAAGATATGTTGTTATTGTTAGGTGCTGTTGAGTTGGTTCCGCCTAATAGCATCCTTATGTACAACAGAACGAAACACTGCCACATCCTGTGCTCTCATCACAATTGTTGCTACACTGAGCCCTTTGTTGCTACCACTGTGCCAGTTCAGCTCATTGGGGTCTTCCTCTTTCTTGATGACCCTCCGCTTTACCAAGTTTGATGTCCTTCTCCAGGGACTGATTTACTGATTTCCCCCCCCCCCGATAATATGTCAAAGTATGAGAGACAAAGTCGCACCATCTTGGCTTCTAGGGAGCATTTTGACTACTTCCAACACAGATTTGTTCTTCTGGTAGTCCATGGTCCTTTCAATATTCTCCTCCACACCATAACTCACATTCATCAGTTCTTCTACAGTCTTCAAGATTACAGCCTAGGAAATCTTGTGGGTCAGTTCAACTCTTGTCACATGGGGTCACTATGAGTTGAAATCGACTCAATGGCCCCACCAACAACAGATGAATGGCATGCTAAGGTTATCAAAGTTAGCCTCTTCCTAAACAAGCAGGCTGTTGTTAACTTAGCACAACTGTGGGGTGGTAGCCTTGGAGTCAGACTGTGTAGTTCAAAGCATGGCTTTCTAGCTGTGGGGTTTTGAGCAAGTTACTGAACTCCTCTGTGCCTAAAGTTTCACCCTCTTAAAAAACAAAACAAAAACTGCCATTGAGTTGATTCCAACTCGTAGCGAAGGTATAGGACAGAGTAGAACTGTGTGATACGGATTCCGAGGCTGTAAATCTCTCCCGGGAAACAACTGGTAAAGCGGAACCGCTGACCTTATGATTAGCAGCCCAGCGCTTAACGCACCACAACACCATGGGTCCTTCTCTCTGTAAATGGACAATAATTCTACCTATCTCACAGTGCTATTAGGAAGATTCAATCAGTTTTTGCTTATGAATGGCTACAAAAGTGCTTGAGTATTAACTTCTGGTATTTTAATGGTTGTATTTCCTCCCCTCCACCCCGCAGTCTTTACATCTTTGTAACACACAAGCAAGTGTCTAGGGAGAGTGATGGAACATTTTAACTATGTTCATTCTTTCCAAATTATGTTACTCTTAACTTTTCAGTTCACGTTCTTGAAGTGTGTATGTAGTTTAATGGTTCTTGTTGTTCATTGCCGTGGAGTCGGTTCCGACTCATAGCAACCCTGTTTAGGGTTTCTGAGGCCTTTAAATATTTTTGAGCTCAGAAAGTCTCATCTTTCTCCCGCGGAGCAACTGGTGGGCTTGAATCCTGGACCATGTGGTTCGCCAGTCCAGTGCTTATTGTGTGTCCCCTGCACTCCCCATTTCAGTGGCAATTTACGGTAACTTTTTTTTTCTGTTGACATGTAGTTCACTTAACATAAAACTCACTGTTTTCAAGTGTACAATTCAGGGGGTTTTTAGCCCAGACACAAGCTGTGTACCCGCCCCCATTATCTCGTTCGGGAACACCCTCATCAGTGACGGGTGGATTTGAATAATTCTAACTTTCTTTATCCCCTAAACCCTAGAAGATGCCGCGAATGGAGGAGTTTCTGGAAAGCACCTCGGGGATAGCAACTTTGAAAGGGACGTCAAGCCAGAGACTACTTCCAGTCTTGGCCATCGCATCCTGAGGGCTGCAGTCAAGGGGACCATGGCGGTGAGCTTGGATGATGACGTGCCCCTGATCCTGACCTTGGACGAGGGCGGTGGTGCCCCTCTGGCACCCTCCAACGGACTGGCCCAGGAGGAACTGCCTAGCAAAAGTAAGACAGAGGATGGGCTCGGGTGAGAGGTGACGTGGGCTTTGTGGTCTCATGGGAGAGGTGTGTACCTGTCGCCTAACACCCGCGTTGGGCCCCCAAGTTATGACGCTGAAACGACTCCCAGGAGCCCTTGGGGTTTCCCCTCCCTCCCTTCCCGCTTTGTTATGTTTTGGGGGCTCCCATGCCTCTTAGAGCCCTACCTCCCTGTCACCTGCGTCTCTTAAACCTGAGCTACCCTGGCTGGGGCCTCAGCCTAACCTGCTCTTTAACTTATCTCCCAGCCCCATTCCCTGTTAAAAAAGGAAGCCGATTTCCACAGCCACCTCAGTCTGTCCCAGGCTGACGCTGTTGGCAGGAAAGTGGAGGCTGAGTTCAGCCATTGCCCTGCTTCCGGGAGAGTGGCAGGGGACAGACATTGTTGGCGAGCCATTGATTTGAGGGTTTGGGGTTTTGCTCTGTCTTCCTCTAAACCAAAGCCTAGCACACCATGAACCCAAGAAAGGTTGTGAGCTTTAAATTTTTTAAACTTTAAGTGTGTTTCTGGCACAATGAGAGGTCTTAAAAACCTTTCTGGGTTTTGTCCCGAAGCCATTTGCTTTCTCTGCTCAGGCTCTGGGCTTAGGAGAGGCTGAAAATGATTTTTCTTTTATAGAGGGTCCTAAGACATTGGGGGAAACAACTCGACGGCACTTAACAACAACAACAAGACATTGTGGATTAGAGCTTTAAGGTCTCCTTAGCAAAGGGATGTTTCATCCATCCGCCAGCACACAGGGGTATTACTCTTCCCCAGTTCACAGATGGGCTCCAAGATGGAGCCCCCCCATCTCCTTTGTCTGGTGAGAGAGAGCACAGTTCAGTTACAGGGCGCTCAGCAGCCACCCATGGAAGCAAAGAAGGACAGCCGTGTTCCTGGGGACCTGACTCCCTATAAACTGATCTCTCCTTGTTTCTGCACGTGCACCCCATCTAGGGTGGCCGAGCTGCTGCTGGCTGGTTGTGGCCCAGGAAAGTTAGAAGTAGACGTTTCCTTAAGTGCCCCTTGGGGCTGGGAAAGCAGTGGCAGATTTCAGGAGCACTTCTTAAATGCCAAGGCGCCCTGGTGGTGCACTGGTGAAGTGCTTGACTGAGAACCAAAGGTTGTTGTTCTGGACCCACAGGGTGTTCTGTGGGAGCAAGATGTGGTAGTGTGTTTCTATATGACTTAGTCTTGGAAACCTCCTCTAAATTTTCTAGGAGTTGGAATTGACTGGGTGGTTGTGGGTTGGGTTTGGTTTGGTTTAGTCAAACTAAGTATTAGGATCTTATCTGTTCGTCTTGCATGGTAGGCAGTGTTGTCTCTATTTGACAGAGTAGGAAATTGTAAACCAGAGAGGGTAAGTAATTTGCCCCAAATCACACAGCCAACAGGGGTTTTAAGCAATGTTCTGACCTTTAGACTGTCTGATTCTGAAGATCCTCCCCTTTCTCCTCCTCCTTGTCTTCATTGACCCTCAGTATTTACATATATTATCCAATATAAGAGCTGGTGATGTAACGATTAAGCACTTGGCTGCTAACCAAAAGGACCCACCCAGAGACTGTGGAAGAAGGACTTGGTGCTCTGTTCCCATAAAGCTGACAGCCCAGGGAACCCTATGGGGCAGTTCTACTCTGTCACATGGGGGTGCTGTGAGTTGGAATCAACTTGATGGAACACAACCACAATGGCAACATCTCATCATCACAGAATTGTGAAGTGCCATTGAGTCGGTTCCAACCCATCGCGACCCTGTATAGGGTTTCCAAGGAGCAGCTGGTGAGCTTGAACTGCCAACCTTGCAGTTCAAACGGCTTTGCAGTCTGGTGCATTAACCCACAGCGCCACATCAGGACTCCACTGTTATTATTGGTACCCATATTATACAGCGGAAGAACCAGCCTCAGAGAGCCTAAGCAACTTGTCCAAGGTCACACGACCAGTAAGCAGCAGCGTCTATTTGATCTCTTCACTCTCTGTGTAAATGGGACTTCTCTCCAGAGGAGGCTGCCCCCAGGGGAGGGCACTTATTCCCTGGTCAATACCAAGGACAGGACAGAAGGAGGAAGCAGTTGAGAGATTAAGGGTGCAGACCAAATCTGGAAATGGCCAAGCCTAAGATTCTCAAGTGGAATCCTGGTTGTTGTGTTACCAAAGTATCAGCCGACGGTAAGATGTCCAGCTCTTCTGTGGGTAAAAGTGGGAAAAGCAACCCAGTTTTGTGTCAAGATCACATTTTTGAATGGATACTGGACTTTGATGAATAAGGACATAGACCCGACCTTGGATAGGCCCTGAATGAAACTGTTTTTACATTAGCAAAGCCAGTGGCTTATTTTGACTCATTTCTTGAGAAAAAGAAATAGACACAAACAGTGTCCAGGGAAATGTGTGCTTCCTGCACCATCCCTTAGTGCCTCTGCTTCCTCTGACCCTCTTCCTGGGTCATTTGCTAAAACCTCTAAGCTCTTGTGGGTTTGCTCCACCAGCCTGGCTGGGAAAGCGGTAGGGCTGGGTCACTATGAGTCAGAACTGACTCGACAGCACTTAACAACAACAACTCTGCGGAAAAAGATTTAAAGCCATTGTTATTTCATGTTTGGATTTTGGGTCTGACTGTCCCCATCAGCCCTGCCATCTAGCTGCCTGTGTAAAACACTCCAGCCTAGAACTTTTCCCTGACTAAAGAACTCCTCAAGCCCTACCCAGCCCCGACAGGACACAAGCTGAGCCCTTTAATTGGCCTAAAACCCAAGCTTTGTTGTTAGGTCAGTTTCAACTCAGAGCAACCCTGTGGGAGAGAGTAGAGATGCCCAGACAGTCATATTGTCTCATCTTTCTTCTTCGGTGGCTGTGAACCACTGACCCATCGGCTCGTAGCTGAGTGTTTAACCACTGTGCCAACAGGGATCCTTTTAGCTGGCATGTCATTATTAAGTGCCATTGAGTCAGATTTGACTCACAGCAACTCTGTATAGAGTTTCCAACGAGCCAGCTGGTGGTTTTGAACTACCAGTCTTGAAATTAGCAATCCAGTGCTTATCCTTTAACTGGCATATGAGGCCTGATATGTTCTAATGCCTTCTTGTTTGACTGGTCCCATTTCCTACCTCAGCCCATAGCATCAAATACATTCCTGACTGTCTCCTGTACTGTTACCGGTCTGCCTCGCTTCGCCTCTTATTTTCGCAGAATCTCCAGCTGGGTCTTCAAAAACTTGCTGATAATACCAGTTCCGCCTCCTCTTTGGAGCCTTCACCAAACCTCCCCTTACTGGGAGAGTTAGTTCCTCACTGTGCTTTCGGCTCTGGTGGCTTGATTCAGCTTCTATTATCAAAACTAGCTGACTGTGTGGGATTTACATATTTGGTCATCGGAATCACTTATAAGGCCCCGGGTTTCACGAGCAGCAGAAAGACCTTATTCATCTTTGGTCGCCTGACTTGATACCTCCCAGGTGTAGGTACTCAACCTATGGTGCCTGTACCAAGCCTTGTTGGGTTTCTGAGGCTCAGAGCTCATGGGAGAGGCCGGCTAAAGGATCACCTCATGCCTCTTTGCCCAGCACGTGCTTTGAGTCCAATCCTTCCCGACACAGCTGATTGTCCTGGGACCTGCCCTCACCGCCGCCAGTCTGTGGTGGAGGCAAACCCTTGAGGTGGTACAGAGTCGGCAGAAGGTAGATGGCTTTTTGCAGCGGTGGCAGTACATGGGCATGGACTACTGAGAACACAGCCGTTGCCGGATCCTTCTCTGGCTCTCCACCTGTACCCTCCTGCTCTGCCATTGGATGCAGAGAATCAGCAAGCAGGCGCCTGGCTAGGACCTTATCCCTGCAGGAAGCTGTAATGTGGGGAGAGGAGCCTTGGCAGCACAGTGGGGTAAGCATTGGACTGCTCTCCCCAAGGTTGGTGATTCGAACCCAAGGGAGATAGAGGTAGCAGTGTGCTTCCATAAACATTACCCTGGTGGGTCACATGGAGTGTCCCATCAGCTTTCTGTGAGTTAGAACCCACCAGACAGCAATGGGTTTTGTCTGTTTCTTTTTAATAGGCAAGGACAGATTTAATCCAAGACGCAAACATTTTGGGGCCAAGAGAGTGGCTGTTGACACGTTAATGAATGACTCGCTGGCAGCACAGTGTCAGGTTGATAAAGGAGGCAGGTAGGAGTATTCAAAGCTTGGAAATGAGAACTAACCTTGAAAACAACCACGGGGCTGGCTTGGACGGTGCGGTTCTGACACAGCCCACGGATTGCATTTTGCATCAGGTAGTGTGCTAGGCTGCCACGTTCAGGGAACCAGTGTTGTGGGCAACACGGGGACTTTGCAGGGGAATTTTGGTCACACTCAGTGTTTGCTTCTCATTGCCCATCTGCGACCATCTCTGGGGGAGCAAGTTGGGCTAGGATGGTTGAAGTTTGAAGGAGGCACTCACTAGTCCAGGGCTTTTTGGAGGTGGGCTGCCCGTGGCTCCAAGGTGATAATCATGCAGAGAGAGGTAATAAAGCAAGGGAGCCCTAATGCCTGGTCCTACTGTTGTAGCTGGCAATGTGGAGGTCACTGCCCCCTTGCAGAGGACCAGCACACAGCTCCCTGGCTCCCTTTCCAGACTCTCATGCCACTGGGGTCATTTGCATCACGTTGCGTCAGGATGGGCCAGTGCTGCTGGCAGGGGCCAGATATGGCCAAGGTGAGCTCGGGGAGAGGACAGGAACTCGCTCAAGGTGGACTCTGAGTTATAGACATCTAGACCTGTGGCTTTTTCTCTGACTTAGTATCGCAGTGCACTTGCCAGAGATAAGTTCACAGCTCTTATCACTTGCGATGTCTGAGTTATAGAAGGTGTAAGTCTGAGGATGCTGGCGTCCAGCCCCAAGGCTACCCATGCTGGCTGAGGGCTAAGCTTGGCTTCCCCAGCTGGTATCTGTAGCTGGGGCCTCGGGTGTGATGTACACAGTACGGGCATGCAGTCAGAAA